TTATCTGCGTGAGTCATCGCTGCAACCTTAATCACCGTGACTCATATTCGGCCCTCATTCAGGAGCGTCTAGAATAGAAATGGAGGCAAACACTTTCTTTTAGGCTTCCCGTGGTGTGAATGACACAGTGGGGGTTGAGGTTATCTTCTTTTGTGTGCACGAGAGTGGATAGCAGGACGTGTGTTTGAGGGGAAAATGAAAGGTTGAGATCGCCATGTAAAGGAGCCCTCCGGGCTTGTGGCGCTTATCAGTCCCCCACACACATTCTGCCTGTTTTTAGTTTATTTTTTTCTTTATGCACACTATCTACCTTCCACATTAAAAAGACACACATTCACTTGAGTTATATGTCACTCTGATCTTTTGAGTTCATCTGCACCGATCTGCTTTGTTCTTCAAGTCTCATGGCAGAAGCCACTTTATTTTTAGGTCATCACTTTGCACCAGCATCACAAGGCTCCTCCTGTGTCATTTCTGCTTCCCTTTTTTATCTCTTTTCTATCTTCTCATGTCAGGGTAAGAGGAATTAAAACTGCACACGTTCACATTGCAAAAATGATTGGAAGATGAAMATTTCATAAATGTTTTCCTGTTTAATAGTAATGTGCTGTATGTCATGTAGCAACACTGATAACGTACGATGCGTTGCACCTAAAAAATTTTCATACTTGTCAACCTGACTGTCATTCTCATTAGCAAAACTATATTTGGTAACAGCCACCATTTAGCAGTACTTTCAAATGAGTACATCAGCTCTCATTTAAAAGAATATTTAAATAATTGTTACCTCTGCTGCTTACACTTGATGTTAAATATTACTTTATTAATGTATGAAGTGTCATTTATGTGTGAGAATGAAATCTATGTTAAATTTTAAAAAATAGTTATCCTGCAGGCAACATTAGTTTATCATTTCCTGTCACAAGACGAGGAGACTACAGTTTATGACTAATTTGAGCGGGGAACTGGGTCCAAATGTCTTTTTTCCCTAAATCCTCACAATTTACTTTAAAATAAGTASTGCAACATAAAATAAAAAACATATAGTCAACAATTCTGAATTCCAGCTAGTTTCCTTCAAGTGTGAAAAGATAACAGGCAAAACATTTACTGCTTTGTTTTGTACTTATATTCTGTAAAGCAGTGGTTCCCAACGYTGGGACGAGACCCCTCTGTGGGTCATGAAGCTTCTGATGAGGATCCCCTGATGATTTCCAGTCATCAATTTAAATTCAAATAATTTGTTAATAGAATGTTTACCAAAATTATTGCAAAACATACACACACACACACACACACACACACACACACACACACACAAATGTATAAATAAAATTAATAAAACTGCTGTCATAATAATTAGTTTTGCTTATATTGTTACTATGTCCATGTTTAACAATGTTATGTAAACTAGTAATGTCTGGGGTCACAAGTTTCTGTAACACTTATTTTGGGGGCTGGAAGCTAAAAAGTTATAAAACCATCACGTAAATATTATACATTTTATTTTATTGGGTAAAAGAAGTGAAAACCCTATTTTAAAATAAAGTCCATCACTGCTAATGTAAGTGGGATGGGAATGCTTACAGCTGAAAGCCAGCAACATAAAACTCAGCTTTTTTTTTTTTGATAAAATACTCTTTTTGTTGTTGTCTTTATTTATGCCTAGGTCTGGCCTGCCTTTTTTTTATTCAGSACTCACTTCATTTGAAGGCCTTTGGGCAAAATCACGCTGACTGCTTTATACAAAAAGCTGRTTTTTAATAATGGTTTCAGACCATATTAGTTCTGCATGTTAATGGTTGTCATGTAGCTCTTGAGTCTAGTCCCTTAGTCATTATACTTTCAGTGATGTATCAAAACAGGATCGCTCATCTCATGGTTGTTGCTATGTGTTGCATCTGCTCCAGCATCTGTTGTGAGCAGCGATCGCTTCATCAGCATGGCTAACCAGAAAGCACACTGAGTGGGTCTCAGAGTGTGTTAGACTTTTTTTTCCAGGATAGTCACAGATGATGAGATTTATGCTTTGCAGCAGTGCTGATGATGATAATTGTCAGTTGGCTGCAGACTTTTGGAGCTGCACCTGATACTCTGCTTCAGCACCTGCGCTAAGTGATTTGTGGAACTGCTCTGAGAGAGGGGTTGATATTAGAGGTACTGTGGAGGAATTTCAACAAGCTTCACACGGTTGCCTTGTGATTGGATTCACAAGCAAGCTTGTCCAAAAAACACCTTGTGAGACGTTAACAACACTGAAGCCATCAAAATCGTTTTGTTTTTGTTTTGCTTTCTGTAATTATAGCCATGTGTTCCAAACTCACCTCTTCTTCCTCTCCTATTGTGTGTGTTTACACGTGTTAAAAACCTTATATGAGGTTTATTCTCTATAATCCTTTAATGAAATGCAGTAACAATGTGAAGACCCTAGGATTTAGAGCACACACACTAAAAACAGGAGAAATGTGACCCCTAAGAGGCTCCACTGGCAGATTAGCGTAATCATAGCAGAGAAAAAAAAGACTACTTTAAAACACAGATTGTGTGTACAATAGTGTGTCTGTGTTTGTGTATCACACACAGAGAAAAAAATAATATCATAAAACCCATTATTTTGTTTGCAGCTTTCTTTGTCTGCATTATCTTGTTTCATCAACAGCATGGAAACACAGGCACCCAGCAGAATCTATCTTCTATCCCAGCAGAGCAGCACACACCCATATTGCATTCTATTTTACTAAAAGGCACTTTATCTTTCTTGAACTGTTCTTGGTTTAAACCTTATTTTACCTCATTTCATTATGAAGTCATGAATTCTATGACTAGTTTCTTATCAACTTGTAATAGTTAATTACTTAAGAAGAAAGAAAAAAGATGGCAAAATAAATAGATTTTCATGCATATTAGATTGGAGAGAAGATTTATGATACAGTCGATAATTCTCAACATCAGTCATGTCCATGGGGTCATTTGAAGGCAACCTAATGTAGTATGACAGGGGCTGAACTGCAAAAATATTTACTTCAGAATTTTTTCTCTGACTGAAATCTAAAGAGTAAGCTGATTGACATATTTCACTTTTTGCATATTATATAAACTAGATACCGTATAGTGGTAGCATAATGACCCCCACATGCACAAACCAGAATCAGAATCATTTACTGTCATTCACACACTACATCAAAGATGCAGTGCAGAATGAAATGCAGTGTAGAACATCCGTCCAGAGAAACACAACAAACATGGGGGAACGAATGCCCAGGGACATGTGCAACGTCGTGCGCTACTGTGCAGTTTAGAATACACACACACACATAGGAAGGATGAGTTTAAAAAAGAGCTTTGATCCTGTGTTTTATACAGGAAAAACACACGAGCATGCGCACAAAAAACTACTTTGCGAAAGGAGCACCGGAACTCAGAAGTTATTCCTAATAAATGTCATGCTACTAGATGCATCCCAAAATTGTAGTAGCTTGGGTGGGGGTCTTTTTT